GGTTTGAGTCTACTCACTGAAGATGATTTACTAAAGGCAAATAGACTTTGCTCTGCAAGTGCAGCTGCACTGTTCAAAGGTAATTATCCCCAGTGCTTAGTGAATGACGTGAAGCTCTGCTCATTTCCATCATTCAAATATGTGCAAGCAAAAATGCTGTTTTTTTATTTTCCCTGCTTGTATTTGGGTATTCTTTGCAACAGCAAGCTTTGAGCTTTACCACATTCACTAAGCACTGGGGAAAATTCCCTTGCAGAGTGCAACTTCACTTGGAAAGTGAACAGTGTATTTGTCTTAATAACTCAACTCCACTGTATACACTGCACAAATATCCTGAAGTCCTTGTATTCCCAAAATATGTCTTATTACTGTGCCCCAAGTAAATGTCGCAAAGGCACACATAAACCTTGGCACAAAGGACCATTTAAAAAGTTTAAACTCTTCTACTAGTATGCTTTTCTACACAGAAAATATACACAGAGCTTACACCATGGGGTTGATTTAGTAACCGCAAATAGGCTGATCACTTTGCAAAGGAATTTACCCTTTGCTTAAAGGATACGTTCATCTTTTTACCAAAAAATAATAAATGCAAATTTTTTTGCAGGTAAACATTTTTGGTTGCAGGAGCCTGGAAACGATTGCACCAGTGATCAGCAGATGGCTGGTGCCATGCAGGTCTCCTGCAGATTTGTCAGTATATCTTCATTAAGAACTACAAGCCAACAGCCTAAAAGGCTGTTAGGAATAGTAATTTCTCATTCACAAAGGACTGTGAATGATTGAGGGGGCTGGTGGTTGGAGTCCCCGCTCTGCCACTTTTTTTTAAATCTGACAGATAGCGAGGAGGGGGAAGATCCCCCCTAGCTGTGGAAGCGGGGGAACAGGGGGAGTGGGGGCCGGTGTATTCATAACTTGTTACATGGTACACCCTGAATATGGGTGTAACATGTAACATTATGAAAGGTGAACTTATCCTGCACATGATTACGAATCATGTGCAACCATGTTATTTTTACTTTCCTTCCACATGTTTGGATTTTTTTCAGGGAATTTTTACCACAATCATTAAGCTAAAGTTTATTTGCTAAGTGAGCAGCCTATTTGCTTTTACTAAATCAACCCCTTTGCCTGATTCTACCTTAACAAGCCCTTTCGACAGGGTCCAGGAACTCAATTGGTTAAAACAAGCTCATGGCCACATCAGTAGTGTAACCTCAGGTTAGGGGATCTACAATAGAGACCTTTCAGATGAGACAGCGAGCCAAATGATAAAGAAAGGTGCATTTATTACACTGCAGTGGAGATAATATAGCATACAAAAGTTCACTTCAGATGAGATGAACTAAGGTATTACAAAATATATATCTGTCTCTTGAGTTTTAGACTATTACAATTATAGACATAAGATCTGGCCGTGATAGTATAAGGTCTAAGCGTGTTCATAACAGGGGTGGAATGACAACTCATGGGGCCCTCGGGCAATAGGAAATCATGGGGCCCCTGTGTCCTTGCCCACACTCAAACCACACCCAAAAAAGCCTATGAAAGGTACCAGGGGCATCTCATGGGGCCTCCTAGTGACCCCAGGCCCTCGGGCAGTGCCCGGGTGCCCGAATGGTCAGTCCGTCCCTGGTTCATATAGTTTTAATCCAATCAAATCCTCATATGCTTAGCAGGAAGTTCAGAGTTAAGTGGGTGTTAACATCACATGATCAGTCCAAAATAGCATCCATCATTACAGTTGCTGGTTCAAACAGGTTCGACCATAAGATTCTCCTCTTAGCCTTGAAAGAGGAAGTTAGCCTTTTTCTAGCTGGCTAGATGCTTACGTCACAGGCACAAACTTCAAACCACATTCCCTGAGTAGAAGAAAAGGGAAGTGCAGTAAAAACTCTTAAAAATTACATATATATATATATACAGTATATATATATATATATATATATATATATATATATAATATATATGTGTGTATGTGTGTGTGTATAAGAACATTCATTATTAGACCCCCTATATTTCTACTCAGTAGTTATGCGCTTGTGTCCCTATTTTACTGTTGACTTCTGGCTTTTATGTAAAAGTGATCAGGCAGCTATAAAGCTGCCTGATCCACTGTACCTAAACGCATCAAACATACAAGTGGTTTTGGAGACAGGAGCACCACCTTCCCAAAAAACCCAAGTCTATCCAGGGAATTGCTTACAAATAATATGACAGGCAGGGGTGGCAGTGAAGATATTATATTAAAGTAGAACTAAAAGTTGGATAGAGTAGGATAGGGTGATTTTTTTTTACAGTCTGTGTCCCATTGGGGAGATTTCCTTATCACTTTCTGTTCCATAGCCATAGCCAATGCAAGATGTGAAAGGAAATCACTGGTTGCCACCAGGATCACGAGAACTAATGCCCCCCTTTTCCTTTATTCTTATTCTGGTGACAAACTAAAATTGGGGCTTTTCTTTAATTTTTTACTCTCAGTTCTAGCAGTGAACAGAACAGATTGAGAGGTTGAATCTCCTAAAAAGGGCACAAACAACAATAAAAACCTGGCAGGTGTTCTAATCCATCTCCACGCTACGTAATACTAAAACAAAGTTTTCCTTTAGTTTTGCTTGTTTGGCCTGTTCACATATACTGTAAATGGACAGCTGCTACAGAGTAAACTGCAGAAGTTTAGAATGCGGCAGCTGCCCATTCCAACTGCAGTGAGCTGGAGGTAAGGAATGGTGCGGTTCATGGTTGAATGCATCACACAGCTCATTTTTCTTTTTTTTTTTTTTCCGATAAACTTTATTTAAAGTGCACAATAGTGTCACTTCATTCACACTGAGCTACTGTACAGTGACTTGCGATCCTGCCCAGTGTCCTATGCTGACATAGTGCATTTTATCGCAGATAAATGCAGCACAGCTCCAGGCTGTGTTGCAGTGTTAATAGGACACATAGAAAACAATTGTTTTCGGTGTGTCATAGTGGTGATTGGCACTCTTCCATTGTGGAAAAACATCAGTCACCATGCTCTGTGTGATAATTGCCTAAATTTCTTCAAAATAGTGGGCTGCCTCAAGACCTATCAAAAATCAAATTTGGGGCATGTGTCTTCTTGAACTGACCTAAGGGTTTTTCTGTTGTCAGAACTGATTCACACATGTGCTGTGTAGACTGAAGCTCAGGTTTCACAGCTAATTGACACAGTAGTTGTTCAGGTGTTCATGTCAGGTTTACATCAGGTTCAGGACAGGATTACGTCTCAGGATTATCCTGTTCACACATAATGAGATTTAGAAATGGTTCCCATAGAAGTCAATAGCCTGTAATCTGCACCAGAACCGGACCTCTCAGAAATCAGACATGACTCTTTTTCAAATGGCACTGAATCCGCACCGCCAGTGCACCAGTCATATGTGAACAGGCACCATAGGAAGCAATGTTATTTTACATGTCATGTGGATTGGATGTGGTTAAAACTGGTGGCTACTATGCCTCCTATTCCCCCAGCCACTGATCTTGGCACATCCCTTCTATAATTTGTTCTCCAGGAAGCAGTGATGTACTTCAGTCCCACTTGCAGTGGTGGGCGGACCGAGACTCTCAGACACATTGAACATGTACAGCCTAGTGTACCCACCCACATTCGCTACAATTCCCTGTGGTTGATGGGAACTGTAGTTTCCTTTTACTGCAGAGAGAGAGGAGAGGATATGATATAATCCTTGCTGTTACACCTTCTCCTTTTCAGAGCAGATGATGTTATCTGTTTAATTACAGAGATGGGGCCATGAAAGTTCAGTTAGACTTTTATCCTAAATGGTAAGGATTTTCAAAATATTAAAGTGTTGCTAAACCCACAACAGTAAAATCAGTCTGTATATGCAGTAAAGCATGCTTGTTATACTCACTGTGGAACATAAGGGGTTAATCGTCAGGTTATGTAAAAAAAGACTGTTTGATACTGACTTCTCTGATCCTCCCCTTCTTCCTGTGTCCCCCTCTTATCGCCTGATAAGACATATCGTGTGGAGTCACCCTGCACATGCTTCGGTTGGTGTGTATTGCTAGAGAGGTTTTTTTTTCTTCTTGGGAGAGTGCATGTGATCATCAAAAGGCCAATCAGCACTGTCCAGACAGAGGTCAGGGGTCTTGCATCCTCCTAGAACAAAATGAAAACTCCTCCTACAAGCTTTAACATGTGCTCTGCTGGACACTAATCGTAGTCACAAGACTGCTCTTGAGAAAAGGTATTTATATTTACTAAATTAATTGCATTTCCATGTTCTGTGTACTGTGGGAGACTCGATATAGTGAATGCAGGGTTCTGGGTTTAGTAGCACTTTAATACCTGTTTAGTGTTTTGTGTAGGGGATGTACTAATGGGTGATTTTTTGTCTATCTTGGAGTTCTTCTTTAAAAACTAGATTCTAGCATGGAAAAGTTGAGATCTACTGAAGTTCTAGATATAAAACAGATTATATTTTCCTTTGTGTTCAAGGACTGTATGTGTAGAGTTGTTTCTTTTTACCCATAAGTATCCAAACTGGGGTAGGTTTAGCGCTAAAATAAACCAGTATCAAGATTCCTATAAACACACCCATAGCGGTTTCCTCTGTTTGAATTTTTCTGGGACTCAGTCCTCTCTATGAACAGAACAAGTGCATGCCTTTGCTAGGGCACAGAACTCATCTCCCATTACAACAAATGAATCATTACTATTAAGGAACTAGACAATGCTAGTTACATTAAAAAGGGACAATGACATATCCTACACGGAGTGCCAGAATGTCTGGTGCCACTGCAGGGTGTGGATTAAACTGATTTGGCCCTCAACAAAGCTTTAGGGGAGAATCCCAAACATTTTCTCATAGTCGGGCAGGTGTGGGTTAATATTTGAGCTGTAAATTACAGTCTTCTACAATAATTACACAGAGCCAGTGATCACTCTGTTAACACCCAGTCAGTATCCAGCAGTTTGCAGTCTGTTTTCTAACTTATGTCTCTGTGCAGCTTCAGGAAGATGTATCTTCTGCTGTGGAACGTTGGTTTTCTGGGAATTCTGAGCCTGCAAGTGCTGGGCGAGAAGATAAACTATGATAGGTATGAATTTCATTCTTCTATTTTGATGACAGATGGACGCATTCATTGAATTGTGCATTGAATATACACCATTAATTGTGTCTGGCTGCGATAGCTTGTGCTGTAAAATAAATTCACAAACAAAATGTATTCATATTATATCTTTAAATGTGTTTGTACAATATTGAAAATGCCTTTCTAAAGATGAAAGCAGCATGTACGCCAGCCTTAAATACATACAACCTGTCCCATAGATCTGTCACTACGCTGTTACTGCTTGGGTGTCCTTGGCAGTGTGTGCCCTACAGAAAAATCTCTGTTCTGTTGTTACTATTGTTGTAACTTGTGCTTGGGACCTGTTGTCAAGCAAACTATATTTATCTAAATGAAATGAATTGCACTTTATTGTCTCAGGTCTCTACCCAAACTGCATGGTATTCCATTTATGTATATTTATTTAATTTTATACTGGTTTTTTTTTTTTTACTTTTCCCTGCGGTATGTTGTTTAAATGTTTCTATATATTTTTATTTTCAATACAATTTTGAATTCTAAAATGTTTATTTTCAAGTGGTTCTAAAAGCTGAAGGTTTTTTATCTTCATGCATTCAATGTATGAAGGTAAAAAGCCTTCAGTGTGCAATACTTACTTGAGCCCAATCTCGATCAAGCCATTGGCTCCCACTGCTGTCAATCACAGCCAGTGAGGAGGCAGCAGGGGGCAGGGCCAAGCTGCGCTCTGTGTGTCTTAGGGCTCATTCACACTTGACTGTTTTACCAACGTTTGCCAAACGCCCCTATAGCGTTTGGCAAGTGTTGGGCCGGCGTTTGCGGAGTGGTTTTTATCGCTCGGCAAACACCGCATGCGTGGTTTAGCAGCGGTTGCTAGGCGTTTGCCTAGCGTTAAAAACTCCCCACAAACGCCAATAATGAAGTTTGAATAGTGTTACCGCTCCGCAAACGCCCCGCAACCGCGTCGCAACCGCACCGCAAACGCCGGCCGGGTGTTTGCGGAGCGGCACCATAGACTAGAATAGGAGGCTTCAATGCCTCCTGACTCGACCAGAGGCGTCTGTTTTGCCGCGACACGACGCTAACGCTCCCGTTAGAACAGCACCATGTGCTTTGCAATGTGCAGAATTGTCCGAGGCGTTTGGGAAGTGATAAAAATGCTTCCCAAACGCCTCTCTGCCGCCTGCACACAACGCTAGTGTTAAAGACACACAAAGGCAGCTTTGGAGGGAGCTGTCAGGGGGGAGGAGCCAGAAGCATTGGCAGGGGACCCAAGAAGAGGAGGATCAGGGCTGCTCTGTGAAAAAACATTGCACAGAGTAGGTAAGTATCACATGTTAGTTATTTTTTATAACAAACAATACGAACCTCTAATATCACTTAAACTTTGGAAAAAAATGGCTCCATATTGTTAAGCTACTGTGTATATATGTATGTATATATATATATGTATATATATATATAATATATATATACAGTTGCAAGAAAAAGTATGTGAACCCCTTGGGATTACATGGAGTTTTGCATGCATTGGGCATAAAATGTGCTCTGAACGTCATCTAAGTCACAACAATAGAAGAACACAGTCTGCTGAACATAATACTACACAAACATTAGATGTTGCCATGGTTTAATTGCACATAACATGTAAACATTCACAGTGCAGGGAGGAAAAAGTATGTGAACCTTTGGACTTAATAACTGGTTGACCCTCCTTTGGCAGCAATAACCTCAACCAAACGTTTCCTGTAGTTGCAGATCACACCTGCACAACGATCTGGAGTAATTTTGGACCACTCCTCTTCACAAAACTGTTTCAGTGTAGCAATATTCTTGGGATGTCTGGTGTGAATCGCTCTCTTAAGGTCATGCCACAGCATTTCAATCGGGTTGAGGTCATGACTCTGACTGGGCCACTCCAGAAGGCGTGTTCTGTGCTGTTGCAGCCATTGTTTTGTTGAATTACTTGTATGCTTTGGGTCATTGTCCTGTTGCATCACCCATCCTCTGCGGAGCTTTAGTTGGCGGACAGATGGTCGTACGTTTTCCTGCAAAATGTCATGATAAACTCTGGAATTCATTTTCCCATCAATGACAACAATCCGTCCAGGCCCTGAGGCAGCAAAGCAGCCCCAAACCATGATGCTCCCTCCGCCATGTTTTACAGTGGGAATGAGGTTTTGATGTTGGTGTGCTGTGCCTTTTTTTCTCCACACATAGTGTTGTGTGTTCTTCCCAAACAACTCAATCTTGGTTTCATCTGTCCACAGTATATTTTGCCAGTAGTGCTGTGGAACATCCAGGTGCTCTTTTGCAAACTTCAAACGTGCTGCAATATTCTTTTTGGACAGCAATGGCTTTCTCTGTGGTGTCCTCCCATGTACTCCATTCTTGTTTAATGTTTTCCTTACTGTAGATGTGTCAACAAAAATGTTAGCATGTGCCAGAGATTTCTGTAGGTCTTTAGCTGACACTCTGGGATTCTTCTTTACCTCATGCAGCATTCTGCGCTGTGCTCTTGCAGTCATTTTTACAGGACGACCACGCCTAGGGAGAGAAGCAACAGTGCTAAACTTTCTCCATTTGTAGACAGTCTGTCTTACCGTGGACACATGAACATCAAGGCTTTTGGAGATACTTTTGTAACCCTTTCCAGCTTCATGCAAGTCAACAATTCTTGATCGTAGGTCTTCTGAGAGCTCTTTTCTGCGGGGCATGGTTCACATCAGACAGTGCTTCTTGAAACCAGTAAACCCAAAACAGGTGTGTGTTTTTTAAGGGCAGGACAGCTGTCAGCAACACATCCAATATCATCACACTGATTGGGGTCAAGGTTGGCTCACTCCTGGCTCCAATTAGCTCTGGGAGAAGTCATTAAGCTAGGGCCTTACATACTTTTTCCTCCCTGCACTGTGAATGTTTACATGTTATGTGCAATTAAACTATGGCAACATCTAATGTTTGTGTAGTATTATGTTCAGCAGACTGTGTTCTTCTATTGTTGTGACTTAGATGACGTTCAGAGCACATTTTATGCCCAATTCATGCAAAACTCCATGTAATCCCAAGGGGTTCACATACTTTTTCTTTCAACTGTATACAATGAGGAACAGAAGTATTTGAACACCCTGCGATTTTGCAAGTTCTCCCACTTAGAAATCATGGAGGGGTCTGAAATTCACATTGTAGGTGCATTCCCACTCTGAGAGACAGAATTAAAAAAAAAATTCAGGAAATCACATTGTATGATTTTTAAAGAATTTATTTGTCTTGCACTGCTGAACATAAGTATTTGAACACCTGAGAAAATCAGTGTTAATATTTGGTACAGAAGCATTTGTTTGCGATTACAGAGGTCAAACGTTTCCTGTAGTTCTTGACCAGGTTTGCACACACTGCAAAAGGGATTTTGGCCCACTCCTCCACACAGATCTCCTCTAGATCTGTCAGGTTTCGGGGCTGTCGCTGAGCAACACGGAGTTTCAGCTCCCTCCAAAGATGTTCTATTGGATTTAGGTCTGGAGACTGGCTAGGCCACTCCTGAACCTTGATATGCTTCTTACAGAGCCACTCCCTGGTTATTCTGGCTGTGTGCTTCGGGTCGTCATGTTGGAAGACCCAGCCACGACCCATTTTCAATGCTCTGACTGAGAGAAGGAGGTTGTTGCTCAAAATGTCACAATAAATGGCCCCATTCATCCTCTCCTTAATACAGTGCAGTCGTCCTGTCCCCTTCACAGAAAAAGCACCCCCAAAGCATGATGTTACCACCCCCATGCTTCACAGTAGGGATGGTGTTCTTGGGATGCAACTCATCCTTTTTCCTCCAAACACGACGAGTGAAGTTTAGACCAAAAAGTTCTACTTTGGTCTTATCTGACCACATGACTTTCTCCCATGCCTCCTCTGGATCATCCAGATGGTCATTGGCAAACTTCAGACGGGCCTGGACATGTGATGACTTGAGCAGGGGAATCTTCCGTGCAATGCATGATTTGAAACCATGACGGCGTAGTGTTCAACTGACAGTGACCTTTGAAACTGTGGTCCCAGCTATCTTCATGTCAATAACCAGCTCCTCCCTTGCTCCAACAGTTGATCTATTTTCACCAAGCTGCTTGGCAATTGCCCTGTAGCCCTTTCCAGTCTTGTGGAGGTCCACAATTTTGTCTCTGGTGTCTTTTGACAGCTCTTTGGTCTTGCCCATGGTAGTAGTTGGCGTCTGACTGACTGTGGGCTGGACAGGTGTCTTTAAAGAGCTCAGACAGGTGCTACTAAGTTAGATTAATGAGTGGAGTAGATGTGGACATTTTAAAGGCACAGTAACAGGTCTTTGAGAGCCAGAATTCTTGCTGTTTCTTAGGTGTTCAAATACTTATGTTCAGCAGTGCAAGACAAAGAAATTCTTTAAAATGTACAATGTGATTTCCTGAATTTTTTTAATTCTGTCTCTCAGAGTGGGAATGCACCTACCATGTGAATTTCAGACCTCTCCGTGATTTCTAAGTGGGAGAACTTGCAAAATCGCAGGGTGTTCAAATACTTCTGTTCCTCACTGTGTGTATATATATATATATATATATATATATATATATATATATATATATTATCTTTATTTATCTATCTATATGTATGTACATAAAACCAATGTGCATTAAGCCATTCAGGTGTAAAATAATTATTTACATGGCTCCACCCACTATCCTGAAATAGGAACAATTTCTCTTATTTTTGGGATATGTGATGGAATGTGATTACCTTCTGTTACATGATGGCTTTAGCATACTACACACTAATTTGGACATATGTGGGAAATCCAGTAGACATGATAGGGGATGCTAAGAGAAGTAACAAGACTCTCTGTAGGAAAAGTAATTTGTGGTCAACTCCTCTTGGTTGGCTGGCTTTAGCTGTGGTAGCTGTGTATATGAACTTACCAATGTTACATTCTGGTTTAAATAATAATTACATAATCATTTAACAGGGAAAAAAAGAGAAAGATGCCTATG